CGAATGCAAAGATGGGCAAATCACAGGGAGTGTGGGCCTGAGGTGGATGACAAATGACCTCTGAGGCGCCGCATTAACGCTATGGGATGGCTTTGGCATGTCAACAGGCATTTCATTGTTAAACCCTGCCGTATTTTCTATGCCAAGAAATATAATAATGGTTTAAGTAGATATGCTGATGGCGTTTGATATCCTGTTCTCAACAAACAATTTCCACATGGATAGTTTCGAGCTGCTATTATACCTTCCACGCTTAATTCTGCCCCAGCGATTACAAAGAATCGAATCTCTAGAAGTTTCCTGGAGCTTTAGACCTACAGCAACAAGGGACAAACCATTTGACATTCTTTGGAATGACCCTACGATGAAAGACTCGGTACTACATGAGCTGTGTGTAATGGTGGGTGCACCAGATGTGAGAATCTAGCCACCCAAGGAAGGGATGATTTTACTAAGACAACACACTGTCTTATGAAACAGAGCCAAAGGGTTGTAGCTAGACTATTCCACAACGCAGCAATCAGGTGTGTGATGTAGTGAAGTGGTTCAGACAAGTTGCAACAAATGTTGAGTCTGGGAACTCAGGGGTAAGTCAGAGGTTAACACCTCACTGACTTTTCAGAAACAAGGAGTAACAAGATGAATGCTTGGAAGCTTGGAAAAGACGTGGAAGTATGTGATAGTCATTTACTGTATTGCCTGCTTGCCCTTTCTTAAGGAAAGGGCAATCCTATTTATGCCAAAGGAGTGTAGTTCTCTCATTTTCCATGACTTTCCATGACTAACCAGGCTTGGTAAATGTATTAGAAATCAAGTGCGACCCACAACTAGCTTGCTAATCATGTAGTGAACGTAAGAGAATCCCATAGAACCATCTCTTGGGTTCCTAGCCTATAGGAAGTGAAAAGGAGGTCCAAGGTCAGAGTACCTATAGATAAATTATGTCATAACTTAACCAATCTTGTGGGTAACTAAGGGAGCGATGACGTGTAATGAATCATAGAGGGTTGTAGAAGCTTCTAGAGCTATCGTTCATGTTCCTAGGCTCTAGTTGGTAGAGATATGCCATGTGGTAGTATTGGCCCACCCCCTTAAGGAGGAGATTTTCTTTAATAACTTGTTCAATGAGTGTCCAAATGATATGCTGTGATGTATGTAGCATAAACAGATGTAGTGAGAAGAGTTTGCAGCAATCGTTGAGTAGTATTGCTTCTGTTGTTGGTGTGATAAGCCAAGATATGTATGGTGACTTGTAGGTTTGAGGAGGAGATTTCTAAGTTTGCTCTTGAGTTTGATAGCAAACTGAGTGCAACGAATGTCAGTATGACACTGTGCCGGATGGTCCAGAATTATTTCCTCACGTTCGGCAACTCGACATAAACATCCTCGGCGAATTAAGACTAAGGCCGGATACCCACAGCACAGTTATCGCCTTAGGCGGGATAGAAACTGTCTTTCTGGGCCCTATTGAAGACATGGTACCAGCTCTAGGACCTGGACGGGAAGTGTGTATCGCTATCCAGCAGATGGTTTTTCACACCTTGTTTATGAAGAAGCTGGAGTTATACGGCCAGGACCTCAAGCAGGATATTTATAACCCGTATAACATTCGCTTTGGAAGGAGCTTGATCCTGATAATGGGTTGTTGGGGTACTGGATTTGTGATGGAGCTCCGGATCAATGTCTAGGGAACATTTACTCATAATTACTGAACTGTGAATAAATAGGGTAACATACATGTATAGCGAATGTGCAAAACAAGAGAATGTGCAAAAATATCGCGACCGCCCTACCCCCAACTAAACACAACAATACTACCACAACACATAAAAATGACGAGAGAGAGTTGACCTTAGCTATCCAAGCTATCCAAAGAGACCCTACATTACGTCTTTACACTATAGCTAAGACCTATTCTGTAGACCACCACAAACTAGCTCGCTAGCTACGCGGTATGCAGCCGCAACGTGATATTATAGCCAATTCAAGGAAATTGACTAATCTAGAGGAATTAGTCATTGTTAAACACACACTCGACCTAGTGTAATGGGTGCCGCACGTACAGTACATGTGGTATATAAAGCGTATTACGCGTATTCCGGGTGAGCCGGAATACTGTAGTCTTTTTGGCTCAGTGGGATGTAGCGCGAGCGTAACCGTACATCATTACACCTAGCTACTAAATACAGATGTCTGTTGTTAAAGATAAGGCAAATCGACTACTTATAACACGTGACACACTACATGTTAGGTCACATTAGGCTTCAAACTTTGTTAAGCATCATATAAAGCTCTAGACACGCTTCTAGCACAAATGCGACTACTAGAGGGCTAAGTGTGAGTACCTAGTGGTCATCTGTGGTTACTTTAAGCTTGTACGTAACACAATTGCAAAATATGGCATCTATGATGGAGATATCTACAACTTTGATAAGACTGGGTTTATGATAGGTGTTATCTTAACTACTATAGTTGTAACAAGCCTAGACAGGCGGGCAAAAGCAACGAAGGTATAGCCTAGCAATTAGGTGTCACGGTTTACCAAGGCATAGGGCGCCAGTTGGGTATTATGAATTAAACTCAATCTAGAGAAGAAAGGAAAGAGAAGAGGAGCACTCGAGCAGTGGCTCGATCTATATACAGCTATGTTGTTGTGGAGTGAATTCTCTTTAGGCGAGAAGTTCTGAGAATTCACTCCACAACCTCACGGATTTGCATCCGTGCTGAGCCCTAGCGTTTATAGATCCTGTAGATTACAGAGACTGAACATTGAGTATAAGCAGTTCGACTTCAACCTTGATTCCTGGGGTCCACATAAGACCCGACAAATAATACGTTAAGCCCCCCCCCATTTTATAATATCTTACTAACTATCTACAAGGTTTATCTGCGACGAGATTCGCTGACTCCTTCCTCTCTTCTGCTTCGAGGAAGTCGAATGGCGGCATGGAGTTCGCCCCTCCCCTGAGACAGCCCTCTGCATTGTACTTGCAAGGCTTGCATATCGTGGCTGGTGGATTACTTGCGTTGAGCTTTTCGGACGCTCCGAAAGCTGGCTGTCTACAGTCTTCAATGACCTTCTTGTACCGCCTGTTTGAAGACTGCCTTGCATGGCACCCCTTGCTGACTTATAGTCGGCTTCAGGGGTTTGCCACTGCTATTGAGGCACAAGGAGGAGGGAAAAGGATCTGGGGGTTCGTGGATGGCACCTTTCATGGGTTTTGCCATCCGCAAGACTACGTACGGCAGCGTGCTGTATACTCTGGCCATGCTCGACAGCATGGCCAGAAGTGGCAAGCTATTGTGGGACCAGACGGCATTGTCTGGTCTCTTATGGGTCCATGGATTGGACCCGTAAACGACTGGAGGATGTGGAAGGTCTCTGGAATAGAGAGACAACTCCGCACTGTTATGGAGGGTCAGCATACACTTCTTTGTCATACTGACATTCGTTGCACTCAGTTTGCTATCAAACTCAAGAGCAAACTTAGAAATCTCCTCCTCAAACCTACAAGTCACTATACATATTTTGGCTTGTCACACCAACAACAAGAGCAATACTACTCAACGATTGCTACAACCCTCTATGATTCATTACACGTCATTGTTCCTTAGTTACTGGGCCAATATGACCACATAGCATATCTCTACAACCCTCTATGATTCATTACATGACATCACTCCTTAGTTACTGGGCTAATACTACACATGACATATCTCTATCAACTAGAGGCCTAGGAACATGAAATATAGCTCCAAAAGCTTCTACAACCCTCTATGATTCATTACACGTCATCGCTCCTTAGTTACCCACAAGATTGGTTAAGTTATGACATAATTTGTCTATAGGGGTACTCTGACCTTGGACCTCCTTTCACTTCCTATAGGCTAGGAACCTAGGAGATGGTTCTATGGGATTCTCTTATGTCGACTACAGTTACCAAGCCTGGTTAGTCATGGAAAGTCTTGGAAAATGAGAGAACTACACTCCTTTAGCATAAATAGGATTGCCCTTTCCTTAAGAAAGGGCAAGCAGACAATACAGTAAATGGACTATCACATACTTCCACGTCTTTTCCAAGCTTCCAAGCATTGATCTTGTTACTCCTTGTTTCTGAAAAGTCAGTGAGGTGCTAACCTCTGACTTATCCCTGAGTTCTCAGACTCAACATTTGTTATAACTTGTCTAAACCACTCCACTATATCATACACCTGATTGCTGCGTTGTGGAATAGTCTAAGCTACAACCCTTTGGCTCTGTTTCCTAAGACAGTGTGTTGTCTTAGTAAAATCCTCCCTTCCTTGGGTGGCTAGATTCTCACATCTGGTGCACCCACCATTACACGTTGGTGAACAGTGACATAAAACTCAACCTCTCTTATACCTCTTTTCCTGCTCTTCGAGCTGAACCCTCTTCTGAAATCGAAATCGAAATCGAAATGCATTCTTTGGAAACCCCAGAACCAGAAACCTTATCCTGAAGTCAATTCCAGGACGATCTTGAGGCAACCCCTCAAAGTTGGCTCTCGACAGTCAGCTCGACACACACACACCACCTTCGCAAGTCAGACCTTTTACAATGCTCCCTCAACAAGGATATAACTGTGAGGGAAGTGCGCTCCTCTCGTGTAAGGACACAGGGAATACGGCTCTCCGTAGGTGCATATGGGAGTGCGAGTCGGAGGTGATGCTGTATTCTATCCTATAGGTCTACTACGAAGGATACAAAAAAGATGAAAGGGGAGCTTATAGCTTCCTACCCCTTATGTACCTAAATGGGGTCCGACTCGGCTAGGCCTTAGCGTACCGGTAGATCCACTCCCGTCTGCCGCCCGAATCGACCCCGACCCTAGAACATCTATGCTGCTATACTACTATGTCGCCTATTCCGCGTTGTCTTACGGGTCCGAGGGTACCCCGTGTAAGGAGGCATCCTTACATTACCCCCCCCCTTGAGAGAGTGCTTTGTCCTCAAGCGCGTGGCTCCGTGTGCCGACCGAATGGTAGCCGAGTGTCGGTATGGTCTAGGTAGTCTTTGTTCGAAGATCGTGGTGCTGAATGCGTCCGTGGGATGGATCGCGGAGCGTGCTTTGTTCCTAATAAAAGCGGATTGTTGAGGTCCGAGTTGGCACCGTATAGTATCCAGTTGTGGTGTTGCGCGTCGCGAGTTTCTTAGTTACTGTGCGCGCGCTACTACTCCTCAGAAATTCATTGTTCTAAGCGGTTGTTATGGAGCAACCGATTCCACCCAGGATTCGAAGGCTTCTTTTTACAACAACACCGCCTACGAACCCACCTCCCGAATCCAGTAAGTAGCCCCTCTTGTTCGTATACTGTATACTAATCTGATTGTTTCATAGGAAACAAAACAAACCAGACGACCGAGTAGGTGATGATTGCGCGCCGACGCGTAGGTGATAACTTCTGGGCTTGGGGCTGACGGTTTTGTAGGAAACCTTTTCGCGAAGATGCCCGTCCTGCTGCCCCCCGGGGCCCTCCCGGCTGCGTACCGCGTCCTCTGTATGAGATGCGTGCGCCGTATTGGGACACCCGACGATGCTCCCATGGAGCACGAGTGCGTTTGGAGCGAGAAAAGCTCCAAGTGCGCCTACTGCGTGAAGCAGAAGGCACCATGTGTGCCGGTGAGTTCTCGGGTGCTGTTCGGTCTGGTGGTTGGTTTCCTGTGCTGACTTTCTGGGGATAGATTCTCTGGTTCCTCGAGGAGGAATATGCCGCCATCGTCGCCGCCGAAGCGGCCACCCTCCCGTCCGGCCACCACCCTCAAGACCTACAAGGAGGTCGCGCGCGTGGCCGACCTCTCCAGCGCCGCCATGCCGGCCCTGCGCTCCCCCTTTGAGGGGGCGCAGTACATTCAGGGGCTGGCCACCCTCGCTGCCATCAAGGTAAGTTTTCCCCTTTCTGTTGTTCTTGTTCTGGGTCTGACTCCTAGGTAGGACCTCGCCGCCGCGGTGGAGGGGTTGAAGGAGGATACGGGGAAGCTCCTCGCGGGGCAGGCCCGCGCCGTCTCCTTGCTGGGACGGTGGATAAAACCACCGACAAGGTGGGGAAGGAGGTGAGCTTCGTGGCGACTGCGGTTGCGAAGGTGGAGAAGGCGGTGGGGAAGTTGGCCGGGGCTGTTGCGGTGGCTCCCCGCAATGGCGGGAAGAGGAAGAGGGGGGAGGAGGAGGAGGGGAATGGGGAGAACCCGATTGGGTGAACGGGCCCTGTGCCGGAGGGAACTCGGCGTGGTCTTTCGCGTGGGGTCACTTCGACCCTTCGTCTCTCATGGTGGTAGCCGCTTGTTGCGACGCCGGTGAGACGTTTGGGAAGGGTGGCTTCCGCAAGGCTACGGCTCTGAGGGTGCCCTGGCTTAGAGGGTGTTTAGTTTAGTGTCGTAGGTAGCAACGACGCTGTTTTCCTCTGCTTTGCCGTGCCTCTCGTGATCGTAGCTTGGTTTGCCTGTCTCCCATTCCGTGATCCAGCCGGGTAGGTCCTGCGGTGGTCCTGGCAGGTTTGGGTACTCCGCGTGGAACTCCCGGATTTTGTAGGGGGAGTTCTTAAAGTTTGAGGTGGGGTACCATTCCGGGTCCGGATCGTATCCGACCCAGGATACCTGGTATTGAAGTTGTTTTTCGCCGGATCCTTACGGCGAGGATCTTTTCGACCTCCCACTCCTCTAGGCCGTCTACGACTTCGCTGCTTGGCTCAGGCGCTGCTTGACCGGCAGCGGGTTATTCGGAGCCTTGATGAGTACGTCTGGAGAGAAGACATCGTGTATTTGGGAACCCTTCGGTAGGTCTAGTCGGAAGGCGTGTCCGATTTGTTCCAGTACCGTATAGGGTCCGACCCATTGTTGCCCCAGCTTACGGCTAGGGCGGTGATTTTTCAGATTCTTGGTCGATAGGTAAACCTTGTCTCCTACGTCCCAGTCAATGGCTCGTCGGCGTCGATTCGCGTATTTAGACATATCCTCTTGTGCTTTGGCCATGTTCTCCTTTGCGTAAATCCATGCGGAGTGCATGCGGTTTGCTACTGCTTTGGCTTCCTTCTGGTTCATGACTTCCCTAGGGGTCGTGGCTTTCGGGGTTTCCCAGTCCCAACTGGTGCGCGGATCAGTTCCGTACTTGAGTCGGTAGGGGGTCATTCTGATCGAGGCATGGGGAAGGGTCCATTTGCACCCGATCCATGATGGGAATGAGCTCGCTCCAGTTATCCTGGTAATGTGATACGAAGGGCCTCAGTCTCTGATCGATATACCGATTCATGATTTCTGTCTGCCCGTCGGTCTGCTTGTGATAGGCTGTCGACAGCTTGATCTTGACGCCGATGATCCGGCAGAACTCGTGCCAGAAGGATGACACGAATTGGGGTCCGCGGTCACTGACGATCGATACCGGGGTGTGCCGAATCGATATATCCATTCGATGAACAGCTGCGCCATTTGTCGTGCATCTGTAGTCTTATAACACGGTATGGTCACCGAACTCTTCCCGAGGCGGTCCATAAACACTAGGATGCTGTCGTACCCGTGCTTGTCCCTTGGGAACTCCTTGAAGTCCATCGTAAGGTGTTGCATAGGGTAGTCGGGTACCGGTAGGGGGTGTAGAAAGCCCTGTTGCTTTGTGACATTGGTGTGCGAAAGGCGGCATGTCGCGCAGTTACGCACATACCGTATGCAGTCCGCTTCCATACCGACCCAGCGATACTTCTGGGCAAGCAACTGGTAGGTCTTCCGGCCGCTGGGGTGCGCCGTCGACACCTGGTCATGCGCCTCTCGGATGAGTTTCGTACACAGCTCGGTGTGGCGGTTCACACATAGGCGGTCTTTGTACAGGAGGAGTTGGTCGGCTAGGGCGTACCCATCCGGTAAGGGTTGTTTCGCGCGTGTCTCGGCGAACGACTTCCGGTTGTCTACGCATAGTGCCTCGATCAGATCGAAGGGCATCTGCGCCTTTGGGGGGTCAATGGCATTGATCGATGCTAC